CTTCCGATTTCCTCTTGGAATCTTGGGCATGCATGCACATGCGCCCGGCATGATTTTCAAGCCACCAGGTCCGGGACTTAAACTGTGGTTGGCCACAATACAGTCCAGTGACACAATCTCTACACCATCTGCTGGTCCTGCAAATTCCTTTTAATCTGGCAGCCTGATTTGCCTCCAACAGGGGAGGCAAACTTGCATCATCTTACCGAATTCCCCATCGCGAGACAAGTGTGGCTTAGTAAGGATACAAGGGTGCTGAGGTCAAGTCCTCCTTACCTCTCCTTTCCCGTGGCTAGATTTAGTTGCTATGTGGCCATTTTGATCACTATGAAGCCAACCAGGGGGGACAAGTGCCATGCTGGAACGCGGAATCTGGTATGGCAGTGGTCCCCAACTCTGAATCTCCTGCCCCTCATCCTTTTTGCAGCCCTGGGAATCCTCTGCCCTTTCCGTCAGTCTACCCACATCCTCTGGGGTATCGGTTCTGGCCTGCAATTCGGCACTGGTCCGTGGCCAATTAGGAATCTGGTCACACTGGAGCCAGCAGATGGCGTAACGGTCACGTCGCTGGACTCCCACGCAGTCGACTGGAGTTCGAGTTCTGGACCTGGCAACTTGAAACATACCAAGTGTGTGTGCGCGTGCCCAAGATCCTGAGGAGAATGGAGAAGGGACTGTGATGTGGCCATCCCCCCAGGGGGTGATTTCTCACTTTCTATCCGTCTTTCCAGCAAGCACACACACCTTATAGCAAAAAAATCTTTTTTTTTGGAGAGGTTTTTGCTATAGGGCGCTCTCCAGAAAGAGAAACAGAGACAGAAAGCAAGAAATCACCCCCCAGGGGGGATGGCCACGCCACAATCCCTTCTCTCGGGATCTTGGGCATGCACGCACTCATGCCTGGCCTGAATTTAAACCACCGGGTCCGAGACTTGAATGGCGGTCAACTACATGGCAGTCCAGGGATATAGCCATTACGCTAACTGCTGGTGCCACAAAAATCTCTCTTAAAAAGTATGGAGTGACACAGCGGAAGTGAGCAGAGGGCGAGTAAGTGGCTTCGTCTGTAATTACAGCTGCATCACGGCCTGTGTGCCACCTCGTCACAGCAGCAGCATTAGGCTCTCACAGGATACAGACCCTATCGTGAGCCGTGCACTGGGATGTAAGTGACACACTCCATGTGAAAATCTAGTGCCTGATCGTGTTATCTCATTAATCACAAGCAATAAATACACCAGTATAATGTGCTCGAGTAATCCTGAAACCAACCCCCTCCCCACCACTGCCAGTCTGTGGAAAAATTACCACCTGTGAAACTAGTCCCTGGTGCCAAGATGGCAGCAAGGCAGTATGGGGTTCGAGGCCCACTCATTCTGTGACTTCGGTGGTGGTGGGGGGTGGTCTTCCTCATTCACTTTCCCGTCCCAGTTTCTCCATCTGTGAAGCTACTGGGTCATCAGAAGTCGTGACACATCTTTGCGTAGAAAAATAAGCCGTGACTTTTCCAACGACCCAACAGCTCTGAGGACCAATTCGGCCTCCACTTCTAAGATTCTATCATCTAACCAGAAATTTTAGTACTCTGTGGGAAAGTGGTCCACTGTCTCAAACTGCTGACTTCTAATACAAGTCTTACGTACTGGTGTTTGTTAGGTACTTGACACAGATTGACATATTTGTGTCAACAATATCCTGATTGCTTCTTTGTTGCCTTGTTAGTCAAAATTACCAAGGATAACTAATAAATCTTTATTAACTAGTAAAGATATTTTGATTTGAATGCTTCCAAGTACTAACAGTACCTCCCGTGTTCTTGGGCATGCACCCCCGCAGTCCTGGCCTGAATTTAAACCACCGGGTCCGAGACTTGAATGGCGGTCAACTACATGGCAGTCCAGGGATATAGCCATTACGCTAACTGCTGGTGCCACAAAAATCTCTCTTAAAAAGTATGGAGTGACACAGCGGAAGTGAGCAGAGGGCGAGTAAGTGGCTTCGTCTGTAATTACAGCTGCATCACGGCCTGTGTGCCACCTCGTCACAGCAGCAGCATTAGGCTCTCACAGGATACAGACCCTATCGTGAGCCGTGCACTGGGATGTAAGTGACACACTCCATGTGAAAATCTAGTGCCTGATCGTGTTATCTCATTAATCACAAGCAATAAATACACCAGTATAATGTGCTCGAGTAATCCTGAAACCAACCCCCTCCCCACCACTGCCAGTCTGTGGAAAAATTACCACCTGTGAAACTAGTCCCTGGTGCCAAGATGGCAGCAAGGCAGTATGGGGTTCGAGGCCCACTCATTCTGTGACTTCGGTGGTGGTGGGGGGTGGTCTTCCTCATTCACTTTCCCGTCCCAGTTTCTCCATCTGTGAAGCTACTGGGTCATCAGAAGTCGTGACACATCTTTGCGTAGAAAAATAAGCCGTGACTTTTCCAACGACCCAACAGCTCTGAGGACCAATTCGGCCTCCACTTCTAAGATTCTATCATCTAACCAGAAATTTTAGTACTCTGTGGGAAAGTGGTCCACTGTCTCAAACTGCTGACTTCTAATACAAGTCTTACGTACTGGTGTTTGTTAGGTACTTGACACAGATTGACATATTTGTGTCAACAATATCCTGATTGCTTCTTTGTTGCCTTGTTAGTCAAAATTACCAAGGATAACTAATAAATCTTTATTAACTAGTAAAGATATTTTGATTTGAATGCTTCCAAGTACTAACAGTACTATCATATCTCAGAGTAACTTTAAACAACTATTACAGGGTGCACGCATTCACAGGAGAGAGAGGGAAAGTGAGAAAGCACCACCCTGGGAGAGTGGGCAATGGCCACACCACAATTCCTTTTCTATTCTCCTCTCAGGATTTCAGTCATGCATGCACCTGGCGTTTCCCAAGCTGCTGGGTTCTGGATTCAAACCACACAGTCCGCTGTGTGCGATCTGGCTGCCTTAACCACCATGCTGCCAGTCGACCCTCAGGATAACATTTATGTATGTGGGAATGGTTGAGAAGAAAATAAAAAAAAAATACAAAGCATTTGTTACTGCAAGCAATTTTAATACAAAAGTGTGTCTTGTTTTTAAACAGTTCATTGGTAGAGCTTCAGTTTCTGCCTCAATTAAAACCAATTGAGATAATCACACAGCAACATGGTCGGAGCTGAAGAGGAACAGCAGCTAAAAAACAGGAGCCCCATCAGCCCCTCTTCATGGTTACTTGGTCAGTTGACTTTATTACGCACAAAAAAAGACGGAAGCGAACGGGACTGGGTAACAGTGTGCTGGTGAACTCCATCCGAGGGCGAGCAAGTGTTCGTCTCAGGTCCACGTTTTCTGAATAGGCTTGTGGGATTCATCCCTCAGTTTGTGGGAAGTTGATCGATCGTCGAAATAAATAGCAAAAACTGTGGATAAACAAATCTGTAATTCGCAAAGCCACCGAGGAGTCTCCCTTGCCAAGGGTCTGGATCCTGGTGAGTACAGGAGTTACTGTGGCTGGGTAGGAAGTTACAAATCAGTCCGAAACCCCAATGTGCTGACGTTTTCTGAACGGCTACATTTATTCCTGAATTCTAGCAGCTCTTTGTCCTTTAAACACCCAGTACTGAGACAGTATTCAAAGACAGTATTGCAATGACCTCCTTTTGCTGTATTATGTGCAAACGTTACTTAAATGAGGTTCACCTCTCTTCAGCTAAAATCACACGACATTAAATTAGAAAAAGCAATTGTAAGTGCCCTCCCCTCAGTTCTTGCTAATTGAGGTGTCTGTGATTTACAAAAAAAGAGTTCCTTAAACACTGCAGGATTCTTTTTTTTTTTTTTAATATAATTTATCTTGCTGAGACAGCAAGTCAAGTTTATAAAGAAGATGCATTTAGGAATAATCCTAAAAGATATAAAGCAGGTTTACAACCCTGCACCACGCAAAAACCCGAGTTAGAGGCTTTTTTTTTAATACACATTCTCGTTTTGACCTTTTCACTTATTTTTCTCAAATATTTCATTTCTGAGCCCCATCCATTACAGGGTTACCAGGAGGCAAATTTTATCTACATAAATATTCACATGAAAATAGTAACTTACAAAAAGAAAAAAAAATAAGGCAGCTTCATAACACAATTATTGTTTTACACTTTTAACAATATAACTTCTCCCGTTCAGAATAAATATACACCCAATGTATGGAGCAGGATTCAAAGTGGATAGTGGCTTGGGGTGCTTGTACAGTGTTATCGCTTGGGACACGGAGTCCTGGGGGAGGCCGTGGCGGTCTTCTTAGACATGGTGGGGATCTTGGAAGGTTTAGCTAGCCCTCTCCTGGAGCTGCCCTGGCCCCCTGCAGCGCTGCTCTCTGAAGTGTCTGAACAAGCAGACTGTGTCTCTAGAAGGTCAAAGTCAGAGGCGTCGCTTCCTCGTCGGCTGCTTGCTCGACTCCCGGCCCGACTCCCGGCCCGACTCCCGGGGCGACTGGCTGACTTTTTAGGGTCTGGAATTCAAGAATAAAGCGATGGACTTAATGGAGGCAGCACAGTGTGGGAGAATGAGCGTTCAGAGGCCGAGGTCCTGATCCCAACCCCATGTGGGATGCTGTGCACCCTGGGGGAATTGGCCTGTCTGGACGCGGAAGAGAAGCCTTCCCTGGCTTTGTGAGGCTGCTAGAGACCCCAGAAGCAGCTCTTGTAGCGGCCCTGCCCCCTCCGACGCCCCCAAGTGGAGGTCAGTAGGGCCACTCAGGAGCCTCAGAGCAGCTGGGTGAGACAGACAGAGTGGGAATGGAGGCGAAATGGAAACGAAGCCAGTTCTGAGGCTCCCAGCAAGGTCAGTAGGTGAGCAGAAGCCACCTTTCCGACTTCCTCTGGTCACCAGCAGCCGCAGTAAGTACGGGTGTTGGGAAAATTACTAGCCAACTGCCAGTCCCGGCTCTGGATGGCTTCTGGAGAAGGCCCCACTTCAGGAGGCTTGTTCTTTCTTTCACATTCTCCCAGCGTGGGCATTTCTGATCAATCACAGGTGCCCAGCTCTGGCCATGGAGGCTCCTGCCTCGGAAGACGAGGTTAGAGCCAGCCAGGAGTAAAAGTCGCCTGAAAACCCACAGGCCCTCCTCCCTGCACAGGCCCTCCTTCCTGGCCACCCTGCAAGTACTGCTCGAACTGCCACCGCAGCCCCATGCTGCAGAGAAGCTGCTAGCTGCCACGCCCTGCTACGCCCTCCCACCCCGCAGCCAGGGCATGAGGTTGGGACTTACCTGCCCGGTTGGTTTTGGCACCTGTGGAGGCTGGGGACGAACTATTGCTGGTATCACCAGCGAGGGACGTCCGGCTAGAATGGAAAGTTGGTGTGGGTCGTTTCAACTTGCTGCCTGTTGACGGAATGAGCTGAGCAAAAGTAAAAAGGTCACAGTTACTTGACAAAATCTCCGACAGAAATCCAATTTCCAAAGGTCTACTTAAGCCTCCTAATATCAGATCAATTGAAAAGCAAATTAAAAGTCCTGGAAAACAAAGATTTATTGGGAAAGTGTTCCGCTGGGTCATCGGAAAAGTCATAATGCATTTTTGCATAGAAAAACATGAAAAAATATGTCTTGACTTTTCCAAAAATCCAACAGATGCTTTTTTTTTTTTGAAGAGGTTTTTGCTAATAGGGCACGTGTGCTCTCCAGAAAGACAGAAAGCGAGAAATCACCCCCTGGGGGGGGGTGGCCACACCACAATCCCTTGTCCTCCATTCTCCTCTCGAGATCTTGGACACACACGCACACACGTCTGGCGTGACTTTAAGCCACTAGGTCTGGGACTCGAACTGCTGTCGACTACACGGGAGTCCAGCTACATAGCTATTAACGCCAACTGCTGGTCCCAGATCAAGCATTTTGATGACTCTCAAAATGTTCCCATTTAAAATGTCAAAACATCTTCCAATCTTTTATCTGACAAATTTCCAATAAAACCTTAAAATGTTGTTATAACAAAAACAAATATAGTGAAAGGGTAAAGGGAAAATCCCTAGTCCTGGGTACCAACATTTGGGGTTGGACATGTGAAATGGGTCTTAGCCCTATATGTTTATGGAAATTCAAATATGACTTCCATCTCTATCGCTAAGTAGGTGCAGTGACTTTAGTGAAGAAGTTTTAGTACATATCCTTATTAGTAAGATGCAACTAAACTTGAATTGTGCATCAGATAAATGACGAAAAGTGCACGAGAATGAAACTGACACGCAAACGTGGCTCTGAGTGAGGAGCCAGATCTGGGCTGGAGTGTGGCCTCATGAACTGATTCTGTAACGTGTCTTTGCTTCTCCCTGGGGAATTCAGGGGCCAGTTCTGCCCCGGCACCTTTATCTCTACCCATACCCTCTTGCTCAGTCCATCCCAGCCACATTTCTTCCAGTGGCCCAGCGAGGGGCCCTAGTCCTGCCCCCTTGCTGCTCGCCCTGCCTGGACTTTGGCTGCACCGTCCACCCCCACCCTCCAGATATGAGGATGACTCACTCCAGTATTTCCTGTGGAGAAGATGACCTGTCGGAGAGGTCTTCCCTCATCACTCAGATAACAGCTCCTTCCGGTCCCCTTCCCCTGCTGCACGTTCCAGTCGGAGCCCTGCCTCACGTACACGCTACCTGCTTGTTGCCTGTCTGGCCCTCATTAAAGCATCGACTCCAGAAAAACAGACTGTTCTGCTCACTCTCACCTCCTCAGCACCTGAACTGTCTGGCACAGAAGAAGGACCCAATAAAACCCACCGACTAGATAAACAATGTGCGGAAGCAGCTCCTGAGCCAGCAGGGAGCTGGGCGGCAGCGAAGGCCCCGCTCCTGGAAGCAGCTACACTTCCTATTTGAACGCTTTCTTTTTTCGGAAGATAGTAGTAGACTGAACTTGGAAAAGAATTTTAAATTTGATTAAAACTTTTTTTTTTCTATTTCTTTTTTTAAATACCAGTGGATGTGTGCACATGCCAGAGAAAGACATGGAGGAGAATGATCGCACCACAATCTTCGCCTCCGTTCCTCCATCCTGTCAGGATTTGGGGCACATATGCTCATGTACCTGGTGTGTGTTTCAAGCCATGGGAGCTGGGACTCAAACCATGATCAGCCATACAGGATCTGGCTCCCTTAACCACCAGGCTATGGGGCCAGCCCTTACGTTTGTTTTAAATACCAGTCGTGCTGCAGCGTGGCATTCTACTTCTTCTTTGAAATCAAATGTGTAAATTGTTTTCCAGGAACTTTAAGATGCGTATATAAGGCAGTCCATCTCCTTGTTTGCTGTATTTCTTTAATTTATAAAGAGAAAGCAAAAGCGAGAGAAAGTGATTAACGTTCAAGCACAGACTCTCGGCCCACGCAGAAAGAGCGCCAGTTTCAGGAGCTGCTGTTCCTGAGCTCTGCAGCTGGGAAGAGCACAGGTCTGGGGATTCAGGGCCAGGGTTCCAAATCAGGACACGGCCTGGCTCTGGGACCCACCAAGTAAGTGAAGGTGAACTCTCCGATGACATGAAACCGAAGACAACACCTTTCGACAAGACAGAAAGGCTGGTCTAGCAGAGCTGTGAGAACTTGCACTTCATAGTTAAACATGGGTAACTTTAGGATTTTTGAGATTTTCATGAAACTGGAGCAATGCATTAAAGAAATAGAAAAGCAAGATCAGCATGTTGAGTCTTGGGGCTTTTTTAATGGCAGCAGAGCCTCAGCTCTTGCTTGACAACAGATATATTCTGGAATTTTAGCTGAGAGTGGATGAATCCCGAAGCAGCCACTCCTCACAGGCATTGGCTTCTTGTGCCTCCCGGGTTTCTCTGGCCGAAGCTTTACCTGACGGAAGGCAAGACCTTTTAAGGCCCAAGAACCCAATGCATCTCTGCAGGAGCTAGAAGGCAAACCGCACTGTCATCAGACAAGCCACCAGCCCATGCTGCGTCCCTGAAACACAGCTCTTCCACGGTGCATGGGCAGTTTAACGGCTGCATTTGACCATGCGTAACGGCGGGCATGTGTACTCAGATCAAGGCCACAGCCACCCACGTGCCTAGGCCGAGAAGTTCAGAAGCTAAAGTCTGAGCCTCAGAGCAGTGTACACTGGTGACGTGCTTGGCTGGAGGAGGCAGCATCCACGCCTCGGACCAGCGTGGCCACACCAACCACCCTGAGGACGTGTCTCGGGGCGGGGGGCGCCAAACACTCTTCTATTCTCAGCAAAGAGAACATCGCCGAACATGCGCCATAGTTAAATTTCAAGTGTTCATAACTCGTCCGTGCATCTGGCAACTGGAGATTCCAGGAGGCCTGATCATAAGCCACGTCAATTGACAAATCACCAGGAATGGCGTCCTGAACAAATGTTGTTTGGGAGACTGTAAAGCTGTCAGAAAATCTAGCTTTAGGCATCTCTTACTCATCTCCAATTCTGATAAATCCGAGTTAGAAACCCGTGAAACGCTGGCGAGGTGGATCAGCTGTGACAGCAAGCACCCCAGAGGCGGGGGAGAGCGCGGACCCAGGTCAGGAGGAGCTGGTCCCGTTCCCGGCATTAGTGAGGCCGTGTCCTCCCTGTGTCCTTGTCAGCAAAGCCATACTCTACCTCGGGGCTGGGCAGCTGGAGGTCAGGATAATGGCTGTCCCTGAGAGGGCTGCCAGCTTTACTGTTTACCAACCAGGGTTTGTCATAACAGCGAGAGAACTGAAGCGGAGTCTGTGAAACGGAAATCCAAGGGAAGGATGGGAACAATGGAAAATGGAACAGAAAAGGAGCAAATTGGGAACAGAAAAAAATAAATAGAAGACACTGAATTTTAAAGAAACGGAAAACAAAATAAAATGCACATCAGTCCAACAGGATGAGCAGGACCAGGCGGAAAGGCAACAGCATTGCCCATACACAACCCCCAGCACTGTCCAACCTATCTGTTGGCTCCCGTGGCACCCACGGTGCCTGGATTTTAATACAGATGAACTCTGAATGGCTCAGATCCAAACCAGGTCTACGAGCAAAGCAGCAGTTCTGCTGTAAGAGCCCGAGGGCATGTTTTAACACATATCCCTTTTCCTTACCGTAAAGGTCCTCTCTATGGGCTAGGGCCCGGTGGCCCTGGTCTGGGCAGCTTGTCCCGGATGTTTTCCCATTCCTGTCCTCACTGCCCTCTTGCAGAGCCTGCACCTGACCACGAACATGGGCTAAGAGGTGAGCACGTACCTTGGCACCGCTGGCTGGGGTGGCTGGAGAAGAGGGCATGGACGCACAGCTGTGGTTGCTCTGACTGGCACTCGAGCTGGAGCGGGTGGGGGAGGCCGCCCGGGAAGATGGCTTGGACCTCCGACCCCGTGACCGGAAAGGGGTCATTCCCTGGGATGCCCCCTCTGGCAGGATAAATTTCTCTCTAAGTTCGATGTTAGTTCTACCTCGTGCTGGAAAGGGAATACACACAGACAACGTCAGTTCACCTTAAACTCTAGTCTTTGATGGCTCCCCAGCAGCGTGACCCCATGATGGCAGTGAAGTGAGTCACAGGGTTACTACCGTCAGTGGGTTCTAGAAGTAACCCCGCGACTGACCAGCCTTGCCGTGGTCCTCCCCCGCTGCACACGCACGCGTAGCACTAAGCTTCGTTTGCTTTAAAAGGCAGATCTCTGTACTGAGTCTCGTCTCACTCTGCCATCATCATCTTGCTTTGCCACCGTCCCCTGGGGTCAGCACACCGTAAACCCTCGAGCGAGAGCATACGCGACAGTCCGCAAACTCTCAAGTCAAGCCAGACCTCCTTCTCTCTCCAGCACACGTGTACTTTCTGCTCGGTTTTTGCGTGACTCGTGGTAATGAAACCGTGGAGAAAAACACATGACTGAAATAGACATTGTCCGGACCCTCCTATTTGAATTCAGTCAATAACAATCCTCAAGAAAAGGGGTCCAGGAACTCAGGGCAAAAAAAGAGATCAGGACAGAATCATTAAGAAGGTAGACATGTGGGCAGAGAGAGAAAGGAAGACAAAGACCATGCACAAAACCTGCCAGTGAGAAGCTGTTAAGTTGAAACCCGAAAGCAGTGAGCTGAAGGGGCCTCTGCAGGGAGAGGGACGTGGAGGTGGGAAGCACTGAGGGTGAGGACAGCCCTGAGGGCCGGCGGTGCTTTCCGGAGCTGTGACCAAGTACGGCCAACGTGGACGCTCACGGTCAAGGACATCACTAACGGCACGGGAGTCCCTCTGGAGTGTGTCCTGAGGTTATTTCTCACTAGATGATGTTATCCCCTAATTCTCGACCTCCTCGTCCATCCAGAACTGCTTGCTTGTCAGAACGTACTAGAAAGAGCTAAAGAAACGGGACTGCAGGGCAGTGAACCGTTCCGAACACAGCATTGGTTTTTCTTTTCTATGCGACACCTTTACTTTGGTTAAGAAATTGCAAACCTAGAAGAGGCCAGCTTACTGGGCCCACTTCCCTTTTTTTTTTTTTTTGAAAGGTTTTTGCTATAGGGCGCGTGCACTTGCAAGAAAGAGAGAAAGTGAGAAATCGCCCCCTGGGGGGGGGGGCGATGGCTACACCGTAATCCTTGGGCACACACGCACATGCGCCTGGTGTGAGTTTAAGCCACCGGATCTGGGACTCGAACCGCAGTCGACACATGGGAGTCCAGCAATATAGCCATTACGCCAATTGCTGGTCCCTTACTTCTTCTTCTATCCCACATGTCTCTCAAGGAATTCAAGGAATCTTGGAACAATCAGATCTTTAAGTTGGGTTGTACCACTACCCAAGCAGTGGTCCCAAATTCTTCTCAACATACCATATGCTGTCATTTGTTCAATTATCAGGTTAAAATCGCTAACCTGGACACCAAGACCTCTGAGTTACAGCCCCCGCGCCACTGCCAACTGGACGAATCTCCAGATTCCCGTCCGGCTGGCCCAACATTCCCTCTCTAAGATGCGGCCAAAGCTCACGCCGCGTCCCGAGCCCTCTCTGCCTCCAAAGGCAGATCCAGCTCCCCCAAAGCACTCCTCTGTCAAAGCAGAGGACCCCGGCTTCTTCACGTTTGCCCCCTGCACTGGGGAGTGAGCGTCTCCACGCAGGGGCTGTCATCGTAATTTGCCTTGGACCCCAGTGGCGGGCGTGTGTTTAGGTTTCAATAAATGCCTATGGAACTAGAGTAGCCTCGTGGCCTGCACAAACTTCCCCATGAAGACGTGCTCATTACTCTACGGGGGATGCGGGACAGGAGCACGGAGCCGCGTGGAGGTGTGGGGTTGTGAGCAGCGAGACTCGCCCTCCAGCTGACTGGCTCTCTTGCACACTGGCCACAGAAGTAAACGCGTGGAGTTTCATTACTGAAACCACAAGGTTAAATTCACGACTGCCAAGCCCGACTGCTAAGAAAAAGCAATTTAAATGAGCAGTGAGAAGTTTTCCATTAGGAAGATAGCACCGGACTGGGCCAGCAGGTGGCACGGTTAAGGTGGCTGGGTCCCACATGGCTGGCTAGCCGTTCAAGGACTGGACCAGGCAGCTTGAAAATCATGCTGGGTGTGTGCATGCATGGACAATGTAGTTGGGATTGCAGAGTGGCCATCTCCTCTGGAGGTGACTTCTCATTTCTCTGTCTACAGTGAGCAAATGCACCCTGCAGCACAGGACAAAATCCTGACAGAATGGAGAAGGCGTTATAGCATGGCTACCCCCCACTGGGGTGCTTCCTCCCTCTCTCCCCCTAGCTAGCACATGTGCCCTTTGGCAATCGAAACTTAGATATATAGGAATGAGATGATCCAACATTACCACGGACAGATTCACCCTTGGCGTGTATGATCTGACCATCCTACGCAGAGCTCCTGAAGGCCACAGTGGAGTACGCAGGTGTGACGACTCGGATGGCTGCTGAGGGCCCAGCTCACCCTCCAGGATGGGCTTATCTAGGAGGCTGGGAGAGCCCAGTTCCTGTGTTCCCACGATGTGCTTACACGTGGTAAAGAAACGAACACAGCCAGACGGTCCCGTGCTCATGGGGAACTGCTACCCTACAGTCGCTTCTTGGGGAAGGGTCATCACCCTTCCAGGTTACTAAGACCATGCCACGGGCACACAACAGCAGGTGTCAGAGCAACATGAGACGTTCAAGTCTCACTTTAGTACTCTTTAAACTACATAACAGAATCTGCAGAGACTTGTCTTCCCCTTTTATTTTCCATCTTCTTGGTCCCTATGCCCTTAAGCTAGTAATATTAAAATTTATGATGCTCTCACCTCAGTAAAGAGGCCCCAAAATGATGATCTTATCCTAAGGCCTGTTTAATTAGCTTAATATGCTGTAAGTTCCATGGGAATTTGCATTTTAAAAGAAAAATACTTGGAGATTCAAGGCAAAGAATCGATTCTTGGCAGGGACATTTTACATACATATTACTTGGAAGAAATGACAGCTATTTCTTTAAAAATATACTTAAAGCAGTCAATTTTCAGAGTTAAAAAGGAGTTAAGGAGGCAATTAACACTTTTGTTTTGATAAGAAGCCAGAAAAGGGTTGGATCGAGGGACACAAATGACAGTTGGAAGCTACGAATTAATTTCTGAAATAGCTGCAAAGGTAAACACGAAACATGTTTCTCAAAATAGAAGGCAATGCCAAACTCTGGGTAAGCAAAAGTTATGAGCAAATTAATTTGGTAATAAAAATATTTTTAGTTTTTTTCATTGGTTTTTGCTATAGGGCGCGTGCACTTGCCAGAAAGAGAGAGAGAGAAGAGAGACAGAAAGCGAGAAATCACTCCCGCAGGGGGGATGGCCACACCGCAATCCCTTCTCCTCCAGGGATCTTGGGCATCAGCACACACACACACACGCCCAGCGTGAGTTTCAAGCCGGGTCCAGGACTCGAACCGCAGTTGACTACATGGGAGTCTAGTGACATAGCAATTATGCTAACTGCTGGTCCCAAAAATATTTTTAGTCTTTAACCATTGAGCCATGGGGCTGGCCCAAGGCCACCATCTTTGAAGGCAGTTATGTTGGCTACCTGATGTGGGCTAGAACAGGCCTGTTAGTTAAAACTCAGTTTTAAGCTACTGTCTTATGGGGTATATTTTAAAAAAATTATGTATCTGTCTGTCTGTCTGTCTGTCTGTCTGTCTATCTATCTATCTATCTATCTTTACTTACATACTTATTTGACCAGAGAGGGAAGTGGAGAGGGAAAGAAGGGGGTGGGGGAGAAAGCCACCAGGTCCAGGATTTGGACCATAGTTGACCATGTGGAGTCCAGTGCCCTTAACCACCGCACCACCTGTGGGCTCCATGGGTACAGTTTTGATTTTACAAGATAGAGTTCTGCAGAATGGATGGAAGTAATGGTGGTACTATTCAATGTGAGTGAACTTAATGGTACATTTAAAAACAGTTAAGACAGTACAAGGCCAGCCTGTGGCCTGGCGGCTAAGGGAGCTAGATCCCATATCCCAGACCTGGTAGTGTGAAAAACACACTGACTTGGGACCAGCAGGTGGCGTAATGGCTACATTGCTGGACTCCCATGTAGACGACCGCGGTTCAAGTCCTGGACCTGGTGGCTTAAATTCACGCTGCGTGTGTGTGTAAGCTTGCCCAAGATCCCAAGAGGAGAATGGAGGAGAAGGGATTACGGCATGGCCATCCCTCTGGGGGGTGATTTCTCGCTTTCTCTGTCTTTCTGGAGAGTGCACTTGCCCTATAGCAAAAACCTCTCCAAAAAAAGAAAACACACTGTGTGTCCATAACCCCAATGAGGAGGGGAGAGAGAAGGGACTGGGGCGAGACCATCCCCCACTGGAGGATGTTTTCCTCCACCCCCACCCCCTGCCTGTCACTCGGTTAGCATGTATATGTCTCCCTTGTCAAAATCAGAAAAAGTGAAGGCAGTAAATTTTATGTTATGTATATTTTGCCACTATTTGATAAAAGTTAGTTTAAAGCCAAATGTGTCTTTCCAATCTTCATAAAAGAAGCTTTCTCACTTATTTGGAGGAACTAATGGTTCTAATGGTTAAAAACATACATATTGGGGTCAGCAAGTGGCGTGGTGGTTAAAGGCACTGGACTCCCACATGGCCGACCACAGGTCAAGTCTCGGACCTGGTGGCTTGCTTTCTCTCGTCCTCCTTCTCTCTCTGATCAAACTGGAAAATAATAATGATAATAATAAATAAAGTTAAATAAAATAATTCTTAAAAAAATACATATTAGGTTGGTGCAAAAGTAACTGTGTTTTTGCATTGTTGGAATTTGTCATTTTCTATTAGATACATTCTTAAATGTGGTTATATCGTACATCATTTTAATGTGCATTTCTTCCTTTATGTATTTTTTTTTTTGGAGAGGTTTTTGCTATAGGGCGCGTGCGTTCGCCAGACAGACAGAGAGAGACAGAGAGACAGAAAGCGAGAAATCGCCCCCCAGGGGGGATGGCCACGGCGCAATCCCTTCTCTCGGGATCGTGGACACGCATGCACATGCGCCTGGCGTGAGTTTTAAGCCACCCGGTCCGGGACATGAACCACGGTCAACTACGTGGGAGTCCAGCGACATAGCCATTACGCTAACTGCTGGTCCCTATTTTACATGTATTTTAGATTATGGAAATAATGTTAGTCAGAAAGCAAATTCAAGCAGTTTTCTTATTTGAGTTCAAAATGGGTCGTAAAGCAGCTGAGACAATTGGCTGCACTAACAGCACTGGCCCAGGGACTGCTGCTAATGGACCTGCAGGGCAGTGGGGGTTCCAGGCGCTGGCGGAGGAGGGGGGAGCCTTGAGATGAGCGTAGTGGCCGGCTGTCGTTAGATGACAGCGACGGAAACAGAACAATCATCGAAGCCGATCCTCTTACAACTCTTAGAACACAAGCAGCTGCTAAGAACTCAACGTCAAACAACCTATTCTATGGTCGTTTGGCATTTGAAGCAAATTTGAAAGACGAAAAGCTTGGTAAGTGGGTGCTTCATGAGCCTACTGAAAAATTTAAAAACCGTTGTTTTGAAGTATTGTCTTCTCTTATCCTACGCAACAAAGAAGCATTCTTGATAGGACAGTGACATGCAATGAAAAGTGGATTTTATTCCACAACCAGAGATGACCAGCTTAGTAGCTGGAACAAGTTCCGAAGCATTTCCCAAAGCCAAACAGGCACCAAAAACAAAGGGTCATGGACACCATTTAGTGGGTTCTGACCTACTTGGGCTTTCTGAATCCCAGTGAAGCCCTTAGACCTGAGAAGTGTGCTCAGCAAAGTGATGAGCTGCACCCGTACTGCAACGCCAGCAGCTGGTCGTGGCGCCAGAAGGGGCCGATTCTTCTCCATGACGCGGCCCAACCACGAGTTGCACAGCCAGCGCTTCAGAAGTTGAGTGGATCAGGCTACGAGTTTTGCCTTGCCTGCATACTCGCCCGACCTCTGGCTAACTGGTTACCGCTTCTTTAAGCACCTCAACCACTTTTTGCAAAGAACGCTTCCACAATTTTTTTTGCTGCCCGAGAGTTGGTCAAATCCCAAAGCAGGGACTTTTTTCCGCTATAGGAAGAAACAAACTTAGTTCTTTTTGGGAAAAAAAAAAAAAAAAAAAAGTTGATCGTAATGACTGCTATTTTGATGAATAAAGATGTGCTGAGGCCCAGTTGTAACGATGAAAAGTTCACGATCCAGAACCTCACTTGGCGTTGCACCAACCTAGTATTGGCCCAGTACATCTCACACCCACTCTTCAGGCAGGAGCGCTGCTTTAATCCTGACCCAAACCGTGGCGACTTCCTTTGCCATGGTTTAACTAAGAAACTAAAAACTCTGATTTTGACAATAGAAGGAAACTGTATTACCGGCAAACCAAGAACTACTGGAATACTTGCATTTTTACATTTAGCCAAAGCAACATGCCATTTGAGAGACAACTTTGATTTTTTTAAAACAGCTATGTAAAAGCAGGTGACCAATGACGGCATACACTGGTATTACGGTGGGTCACTGATTTCATACGATGCTTGGTATAGCATTTGCTACCGTCCATAGACAGGTGAAGGTAAGAGCTACCACGAGCAGTGCTTCTGGAACCACAATAACCCTTGCAGAACCCTAGACAGCTTGGAGTAACTTGCTTTTCTTTTATTTCTTTTTCTTTAAGAGAGATTTTTGCTATAGGGTATCTGTGCTCACCAGAGAGAGAGAGACAGAAAGTGAGAAATCAACCCCCATGGGGATGGTCATACTGCAATCCTCCTCCATTCTCCTCTTGGGATCTTGGGCACGCATGCACACGAGTCTGATGTGAGTTTCAAGTAGCCACATCTGAGACTCGAACTTACACCATCTGCTGGTCCCCCAAGTAACTTTTTTCAACGTTCGCACCCTTCCAACTCACTGATTACACCCAGCTCTTAGGTGGTCACCTGTGAGCGCTGTTTTTTGTTCGATTAGAAAGAGCACATCCTCTGTCTATCACTCACATCCTCTGTCTATCACTAGAAGAGTTAAGACATCAGAACTGCTGTGGAGTTCTCCACTCCACAGTCCACAGAATGGAGAGGATTCCCAAAGTACTAGGAGGGCCTCCTGGACAGTGACAGGAAAGTCTTACCTTGTTTGCTCCGAGGGATGCGAAAAAGGCTACTATGTTTCACATACAATAGCTAGTGGATGGCCTTCCCAATTGACTTGGGATTCCAATTTTTAGATACTAAAATGAGGACAAAGCAAGCAGTGTTCTCCTTGGCCAGCAGCATAATGCTATCGTAAACAGAGCAGCAGCAAACCACAGGCAACTGAGGGCTCTGAGTCCACGTGCAGTCTCTCTCTCCCGTTTAGTGCAATCACACGTGACAGGAAGAATGAGACCTCATTAAAACACTTGGGAAGGAATAATGTTTAACCGAGTTATGGTTAAACTTACACGGATTCTTCATTCGAAACAATGAAGACTTTTAAATCAGACACTGGGTAATGACATACATAATTCTAAAGTGGATTAAACCCCTTTAAGTTTGTGTCAGGAAAGGTTTTCAAATTATTTTTTTATAAAAGGAACTTAATCTTGTTTTTTTAAAAAATTTTTTGCTATAGGGTGCGTGTGCTTGCCTGAGAGACAGAAAGCAAGAAGTCATCCTGGGTGTGTGGGGGGATGGCCACGCTGTAGTTTCCCATCTACTCTCCTTTTGGGATCTTGGGCATGCACACACACATGCCTGATGTGAGTTTTAAGCCACTGGGTCTGGGACTCAAACTGCGGTTTACTACGCAGGAGTCCAGCAACATAACTATTATGCCATCTGCTGGTCCCCCTATAAAAGGAACTTCTCGTGAAGATTACTGCTTACCTTTTATTTGAATTTACTGAAGTAAATACAGAATGATCTAAAATAAACATAACTATTTATGGGCATATCAGAATTCATGTGAGAACTGTCCCTTTAACTCCATCTTCTCTAAATGCTTCCAAATACTACTGCGAATCACTGCCCAAGAAGTCAGATAACTGTACTGTAAACATTTCTCTCTTTTAGGCTTGTGCGTCCTGGTCATTTAATTAGGCAGGCTGGCCCTGTATACACACAGGAAAAGGAGGCACGCCAGGCCCGAGCCTCGGAGGTGCAGAGGGTGAGCAGCACGCACTCGAGCCAGACTGCCTTGGTTTGAGCCCCGTCTGCCATCTGCTCCTCGCTGGTCCTCTAGTTTGGGCAAGTTCGGCCAGTTTTCTATGCCTCGGTTTCCTATTCTGTAAAGCGAGGCAACACTACCTATCCCTCAGGGAACAGTGATGAGGCCCAAGTGTGTTACGATAACGTGCTGATCACGCGCAGCACACACAGCTAAGTAAGTGTTAAAGAAACGGAGCCTCGGACGAACTCCACGGACAGTCTCAAGGGCAGTATTCCACCACCTGTCCACTCGGACTGTTAGGCTACGGTTTGGTGATTCCAAGCATTCATGGAGGCAGCAGTTACCAAGCGAAGCCATTCCACGGGCTAGGGTACGGGCAAGAGGGGCGAAGCTTAAAAGCCAACCTAGGGGAGACTGACTGGAAATCGAGGAGCTGGAGTCAGAGCGCTTTATTTTACTCCCGGGATGGTGAACTAGAATAAAAAAAATGTAAACACAAAGAAACAGAGACAGAGCAGGAAACACAGAAACTGGTCAGGAAAGACAAACTGGCAGACGGGGGCGGGGTTCCTGTGTACCCACATGCAGCCCTGCTAACAGGAAGGAGAAAGGACCCGGCTGAGGATTTGGCGGTGGGGCGTGGTCACTGTCCCTGCTGCAGTCCTCACACGCCTAGCTGGGTGTGCATCTCAGGCCCGTCAAGTCGGCAGTTTTCTCTTGCCACTGGGCTGGTGGGCCAGCCTGTTCTCGTTCACCGAAAGATACCCATGGGTCTTACTTAGCAGCCTCTGTCTCAGAGCATCTGGGCTCCCTGGGAGGAATCCCTGGTCCTCCCTCCTTTTAGAGAGGCTCACCAGCCCTTTTCGTGTTTGGGAAGGGCCCACCTCTCTCTGAGTCATGGGAATTACAGGCAAAGGGATCTGAGGCTCTGAAGAGTGAACCCAAAGGGCTTCAACAGGCTCCTTTCTAGGCTAGCATTAATACCCCAAACTGAAATACTCAGATGACACCAAGGCTTAATTTTTACTACTGTGTTCCCCTAAAGCCGCCTCCCCAGCAACATCAATCTCTCTGGCATTTCCTCCAGAGCTTTGATCTAGTGGGACAACATCTGGGCAGCTAAGTGACAAGATAAGAAGTGAATACACCCCCATCAGCACAAGACCCATGACCCAGGCCCATCAGCCCGAGCCCCACTCCCCAGGCAGTCCTGACATACCAGCGGGCTCAGGAGGGCTCCTTACCTCGGCAAGGGTCGTTCTTCACTAGAAACTCGTCCAAGGCCATCCATCCCCCGCCAACGCGGACCATGACCGTGCTGCGCAGGATGCGGACCAGCCGCAGCTGCTGCGAGTCGCCGAACTGCAGACCCAAGGGAGAGCGTGAGTCGCGAGCCGGGGGCTACCTGTGCTGCTTCCCCCAGAGCCGACTGTATTCAGACAGGAGTGACAATGGGAGCGTTCATGGAACTTTCTACTCCATTCTGCATTCTGACATCTTTCACAAAAGGGTTATAAAAACAGAAAAGCAGAAACCTCAAACTACAGACCAGTGTCTTGATACACTTTCTCCTGAGAGAAAGTTTCAGTCTGAGGCTCATACCCTGCCCCTGCCCCTGCCCCAGAAGGGGAGGACAGATGAATGTCAGCTCCCTCTCCTTCTTTCAGGAATCGTCTCCGTAGCAGAAAAAGGTGGATGTCACCTTCTGAATACAGTGAGCTTAAAAGTGAAATAGAGAACAGCAAGTACTATTCCAAGCCTCAAGGAAACTCCTGCGAAGCATTGTTACAAGCTTAGGAGAGAATTTGATGTTCTGCATCAGGTTTTCAGAAATAAACCCTAAGTATTGTGTAATTGCAATGCCACCAGCAGTCGAGTTTCTTCAGAAGACAAATGATTAGATAGGATTCACACTAAAATTCGGTTCAAGAAATTAAAAATTTAACCTCCCAAGGTGACTGATTGCCTGAGAATTGTTTTGGATGTTGAAGCAAGCATGACTCTCTGACTTACTCCTGCCCCATTCCTGCCTGATACTCCTTTTCCCTGGCCCTGACTCAACTTTGGAATTTCCCATTGCATAAATGATCCCTCGTCCCCAAACGAAGAGACAACACAAGAGAAGCATGCCGAGACTCCAAAGCAAACACTAAACACTGGCTGGAGAAATGGAATTCCTAAAGTTGCTTCATTCAAAGTGGGGGTGGAGGTGCTGGGGAGGACTGTTTAATCCTTCCATCAATGCATCTGGGGTACTCCTGTTTCTCAGCTGCTGTGACTCCAACGCACTTTTTTTTTTTTTTAATTATATGGAGAGGTTATTGCTATTATGACTACGCAGGAGTCCAGCAACAAGAGAGAGACAGAGAGACAGAAAGCGAGAAATCACCCCCCAAGGGGGGTGGCCACGCGGCAATTCCTTCTCCTCCATTCTCCTCTCGGGATCTTGGGCACACACGCACACGTGCTCGGCGTGAGTTTAAGCCACCGGGTCCGGGACTCAAACCGCGGTCGACTACATGGGAGTCCAGCGACATAGCCATTACGCTAACTGCTGGTCCCTCCAACGCACTCTTTATACGGGCAAGGAGACTGGAAAATACTGTCCCCCTCCCTCTCCAGCCAACTCTTCTGAAACTATAAACAGTTCTACATTTCTCAACTCATACGGCCTCGGACCTTTTATACAAAGGGACCACAGCAGTGGCGTGGTGTCGTAGAAGCAGCCTTGAACCCCGACTGGTGAGGGAATGCAGCCCTGTCCTGGGAAGGAAGCCCCTGGCTGTGGCAGACCTCTCAGAAACTGGGCCAGCGAGTGAAAACGGAGGCCTCCTGGGCGAGTTCTGGGAGGAACTGGGTCACCAGACCCAAGGGCAGTGGGAGCCTGAGTCACCGTGGGGGTTTTCTCTGGGTGGGTGAGGAGAGGAAAGCGACGTACACCCGTGCGGCTTCAGAATGAACCAGAAGGAACCCTGGGAGCACTTCTTTCTTTGAATAGTGGGGCCTAGGGTGGAGTGATGGTTAAGGGCACTGGACTCCTACATAGCCAACCATGGTTCGAGTCCCGGACCTGGCAGCTTGCTTTCTCTCTCTCCCCCTCTCTGGTCAAATTAAAATAAATAAAGTTAAACAAATAATTCTTTAAAAGAAAAAAAGAATAACGAGGCCTATAGTTTATTACTCCATTTCTCTCATGGGGTTTCCCCTTTGCCTTTCTGAAAAGCTCTATTTAAACAAGGTTCTAACTTGTTCCTGCTAAGCTACGGGGAAAAGGAAGTTTGACCCACGCCAGCAGCCAGAGTAGCTGGGGCAGTGGAGAGGGAGGAAGGCAGCTGGAAACAGGGACCTGTGAGCGGCCGGCAGACAGGCTTCTCAGTGCGGCACGCACTCAGCACAGCTCTGGGGACCAGCTGCCACTGCGTGTTCTTCGGCAGGGACTGAGGTTCTGGCAATGGCTCTGACGTCAGCCGTGAGAGCAGGCGTGTGGGCTCTGAAACCTCAGGTGCCTTGTGTATAAGGCTAACTTCACAGAGCTGTTCTTGGCATCAGAGGGAGCTCACCTGGCTCTCTCTGGCTTAGTGGAGCAGTAGCAAATTACCTGGTGTGATTCAAGCCACCGTGTCTGGGACTCGTGCCACGGTCACCCCTAGGGAAGGGCCCTGGTGCCTACATCAGTCATTAGCAAACAGGCACACTGCGCTCACCTTATGCACAATGTACTTAAAGCCAGTCTGTCCTCATCTTGTCTTTCCTTCCTACCCCGTTCTTCCCACTGAACGTTAAACATAGTTAGTGACTACTGCAGTGCCCAAAACAAGGCCCCCAATCAACCCGTAGTGTTTCTACTTCCAGGTCAGAGAGACAGATTGACTCATGCAACTTCTTTCCATATTTGAAGACACAGGATCCCAGAACCCTCAGAAAGATCTGAAAGGTTAGTGTTACCAAGTGGAGTTAAAACGCATAATCTTTTTTCGCAAGTTTAATTTGGTCCTGTTAGATTTTGGCTGGCCGTTATCTATAAACGTCAGGCCATGGCCAACGATCATTTGTACTCTACGCTTCTTGGTCACTCTGTAATCATAAGCTACAATCTAAGTAACCATAACCGTTAACAAGGTATTAACCAGAGAGTACTAAGGTACCCAGGATTTCCTGACTTAGTGAACATTGCAGGATTTGTGCTGTCAAAAGACAGATCCAAGTCAGATTGTGCTATCTGGTATCCCAGCTTCCAATACGGAAGTACAAGAGCAGGCTCTTTCCAGGAGTGGGATGGACTGATTTTGTCTGAACTGTTATTTATAAGTCATAATATCATCTTTAGCCAACCTTAATTCTGAATGGAAATTTTTCTTCAAGCTTTTATTATAGGGTGAGTGTACTCACCAGAGTCAGATATAGGGAAAAAGAAATTACCCCCCCGGGGGGGCATGTATCAATCTTTTCTACACTACTCTCTGCTCATGATTTTGGGCACGCACATGCATCTGGTGTGATTTTCAAGCCACCGTGTCCAGAACTTGAACCACGGTCACCCACGTGGGAGCCCAGTGCCTTAGCAACCAAGGTACTTGTTGGCCCCTTCACCTTTTTCATTTTTCCCCCTTAGATACTTAAATTATTTTTTGCTCAGATGGCTTTTGAAAACCAACCCATTAGCAGTTTCCCCACTTGGTAAGACAACCGAATGTGACCCGGGCATGCTCAGATTACGCCCTCTCCCCACAGCAAAGAACAGGCAACGTTAGCTACACAGCCCACGTCCGCTGAGCAGAGCATCACAAGGCACACTGTACCTGATTGCCGAGGAAGAACTACAAGACAGTGAGAGTGAGGGGCGGAGAAAACAAGGGGAAAAAAAGAGAGAACATTTTGTCAAACGAACACTGAGAAACGAAAATCGCATCGTCACGTTACCTGTCTTCCTGCAGAGCGATACATAATGACCACATTCTTACTCAGCTCCTGCCACAGGGATGTGGGTCTACAAATTAAGGAGACCTCACTTTCCACCCTATGTTGTTCTTGTTAACTCGTGTCTCTCACAGGTAATTTAAAAACTAAGAAAACAAACCCAATAAGCAAGGTAAGGTTACTTGGGGCTTTCTAGCTACATGTGCCTTGGGATGGACTCAAGGTGGGGTCCCTAACACGCTCAGCAGACAGCCTGGTGTCGACTGGTTGCACTGGGAGGATGTTTCTGATGCAAGAGCGAGGCCTGGATTTTCCTGTGTTTCTCACTCCATGTATCTGCCATTGAACATGGCTCTCTGAATCCTCTGTGCTGATCATGGCTTTTCTTAGGAATTTAGAGAATCCTGACAAGCTGGTCAGTCATTAGAAGTAACTGTTGTCAAATGGCCTTTGTCGCTTTGTGGTCAGCAGTGATGTGAAATGTCCCCGACCTCAGAACGCCAGTATGAGCTACCGTCTACACAAACGTGCACTATTTTCCAGAAGGTACAACACAGAGCACTGAGTAAACTTGCCCAACATTACATTTTGACATTTGGCATCTGCAGAGATGAGGTCCAGGGAGGGCTCACATCTCAAGGCTCTGGACCTCCAAGGAGCAGAAGGGAGAAGGTGGGACCCTTTACCCTGCTGTGAGCCCTGCTGCTCCCACCTACGGGGCGCATATGGGAAACCACTACCGTGAGGAACGGGCTTTTCTCTTCCTTACCCGGTATTTGTTCTCTCCGATCTGCTCCACCTGAAACCTTTTTGCACACTTGCACTGAGCCACTTGTCTTGTGACCTATTGGTTGCGAACAAAAAAAGAGAAGTGTGATGGGTAGAATGAGACTTCCTGTTCAGAGAGACAACAATCTGCACACGTCAGCAGGGAAGTTACTTATTATTCACTTCTGAGGTATTTCAGACTTCTCACACATGCATTTATCTAGTCCACATTAGTGCATGTTGCTCTGAGAAAATTGAGACACTAAGAAAGAGGATGAAAATAATTCCCAAGTAATTACACAACACGTTGTTCTATCCCGCTTAAACATTTCAGAGAAAAACACTACTGTGCACACATCAAGATCAAATGACTAATAAAGGATGAACAGATTTGATTTTCATCCCCAGAGCCTGCGATCCCCGGAAGTCAGTCCTGCACGTTTCAGGGCCACCCCAAAGACCTGCCAGAGCAGGTCTAACACCTGTCACGACAGACTCTGCGACCTGCGTGCTCCCAGTGGATTTGCTGTTTCCGGTGTGATGTAGTTGAACCATGCAGAAAGCATAGTGGGGGCACGCTATCTTTTTTTTTTTTTTTTTGGGTAAGTTTTTGCTATAGGGCACGTGTGCTCACCAGAAAGACAGACAGATAGAAAACGAGAAATCACCCCCCAAGAGGGGATGGTCATGCCTCAATCCCTTCTCTTCCATTCTCCTCTTGGGATCTTGGGCATGCACGCACATGCACCCGGTGTGAGCTTAAGCCACCAAGTCTGGGACTCAAACCACAGTCGAGGAGTCCGGCGATGTAGCCATTATGCCATCGGCTGGTCCCAAAGGGGGGAGGGGCATGCCATCTTAAAGGTGACAATTCATTCCTGCAATGCTACGTTTAAAAACCATGTTCCTCAATTCCAAGGAGGGCTGCAGAGGACTAAGACAAATGCATCCTAAGCGACACAGTGCCTGGGAGCCAGGATTGGCAGTGCCCTGGGAAGGGCCTTTGCAATCTCTGGAGCCCCACACAGATGGCACTCTGCTGACTAGGCCATCTAGACCAAGACAGAGCTCAGTAACCAGAGGTCCCCTGAGATGACAACCAAAAGGAAAGCCCCAAAGAGAGCCTGGAATCACCTTCTAACAGACAGGTCAAGGGCTCTATGTTAACTGCCAAATTCAGGACAGGAGAACCTGCAGTCAAAAATGTGCACAAAATACGATTGTTTCCCATACCTCGTCTTCGATTTTATCTGCATCAGTCGTCGGTCGATAAGCGTCCTTGTTAGGATGGAGAGCAGCCACAAACTCATAGTAATCAATGTAGCCGTCCCCGTCTCGGTCGAAAATGTCGGCCACGGCAGTCATCTCTAACTTGGTGGTGGGGAACTCTGGAGAAAAGGAAGCCCATGGTTTGTTTTTTCTTTAGAATTATTTAATGTCTATTTATTATTATTATTTTTTAATTCGAGAGAAAGAGAGAGAGAGAGAGAATGAGAAGGCAAGCTGCCAGGTCTGGGACTCAAACCATGGTCGACCATGTGGGAATCCATCATCATAACCTCCATGCCACCTGCTGGCCTAGAATCTCATTTCAAAACACGGAGTAAGAGGGCTTACTGGGGGGAGGGGAGCAGCAGATGGCATGGTGGTTAAGGGCACTGGACTCCCACATGGCTGACAGTGGTTCGAGTCCTGCACCTGGTGTCTTTCTCTCTCTCTCTCATGCTCTGTCCCTCTCTGGTCAAATTAAAGTAAGTAGATAAATAAAGCTAAATAAAATAATTCTTTAAGGCGAAAAAGAAGGCTTACTTGGGTTAGTGCTTACACAAATAATAATATTTATTTTGGGGGGGGGAGAGGTTTTTGCTATAGGGTGTGTGTGTTCATCAGAAAGACAGAGAGAGACAGAGACAGAAAGCGAGAAATCACCCCCCAGGGGGGATGGCCATGCCACAATCCCTTCTCCTCCCTTCTTCTCTCGGGATCCTGGGCATGCACGTACATGTGCCCGGCGTGAGTTTAAGTCACCGGGTCCGGTACTAGAACTGTGGTCAACTACATGGGAGTCCAGCGACATGATCATTAGGCCATCTGCTGATCCCAATAATACTTTTTAAAAGGAAAAAAAATGACATCTTCATTTATTCTGAAAAGCAATACATGTGCGCTTTAGAAAATGTAAAAGATACAAGTGACAGTGAAGAAAAGATACAAGTGACAGTGAAGAAAAGATACAAGTGACAGTGAAGACAACACTCCAGTCACTCTACCTTTCCATGCCGGGACATGCCAGGTCCACTCCCACCCCTCCTTCGGTCTCCATTTCTTTCCACAAATCTCAGATGGCTAGCTCCTTCTGCGACCTAGATCTCTGCTCGAGAATCAGCTCCCTGACAGGCCACCCCTGACTGCCCCACCTGAGGACGGAGCTGCGAGCAGCTCTGTGTGATCTCGGTAAGTCACTTAACTGCTTCACACCTGACGTATTGTCCCGCCCAAAATAGATGAGGTGCCTTAGAAACTGCTTTTATGAAAAATATTTTTAAAAACGCGGTTCCAGGCCTCAGCACTCACAGGAGTTAGCTTATCTACACCTCGAATGTGCGCTGCTCCCCCAGACAAGACCTGCTTTTCCATTCCTAGTGAAACAAGATTCAGCCAGACCACGTTGAGCAGGCAGTTGCTGCTTCTCCCCGAAGACGACAGCTCTCACTTTCAGACAGACTGGTCAGCCAGAATACCTAGCTTCCACCAGGCAGTACAAACAGCGACGGTCCCACGTTAGGAACCACAGTGTGACTCACTGGATGCTAAAATGCCGTCGATAAACTCCTGACGAGTTATCTTCCCGTCCTGGTCCTTGTCAATGCGCCGGAAGAAATCCATCACCCGAGACTTTTTGTGGTTCATCCAACGCATGTACTTCTTCCTCCAGACATCGAAGTCGAAGTTGGCAAATTCCTTCAACTGGACAGAAATCGAAGATGTCAACAGGACCCACTGTTTTGGCCCTCAGAGCCGCTGAGCATACCCAGACCTTCAGACATTCAGTAAAGCCATGCAGGTCTTCCAGGAGGGCACCGACGTGGTAACTCTGTGCCGCCTCTCTGTGAAGACACAATCTGGCCCCTTCGTTTAAAAGCCATGGTTATGTACACAAGCCGCGGTATAATGGAGGAGCAGGAGAGACAGGAACCAAACCACCACCGTGGAAGATGCAGAATGAGAGTGAGTGGAGCCAGCCGTGCTCTCCCTTTGGGCTTCTCAAAGATCTCCGACGTTGGGATGGATGTTAGCCCAGAAGGAGGTCCCCAGCGCCCCTCGGTCGTGGCATTGTGCAGGCACTATGACCACGTTGTATGTTTCCCTGGATGGCACGGGATGGAGCACACTGACCATCTGATTCCACGCTAAATATCTGGCCTTGGTGGCAAACGGCTGGCCCGTCAGTGGGCAAGGCGACTGCCAACGACTCAGACTATCTTAGCGACACGAACTCGCAGTGACTTCAACAGTGCAGCAGTTTCCCCCTGGTCTTTCAAACCCCAGAGTTGG